GGGGGGGGGGGGGGGGGGGGGGGGGGGGGGGGGGGGGGGGGGGGGTACCAGCTACCTGAGAGAGGAGGAACAACAATTATTAATACCTAAAGTTACCATGGGTTCGGCTCAACAACACCCGCCGAAGTCTAGCCGGCAGGAAAAACGGCAGGTTCAGCCAACAGCGTCAAGCGGCATTACAGAACAGGTGCCGTCACACAGGGGGCAGAAGATACGTTAGTTGAACAGTTTAGAGAGAGCAGGGCACTGATGGGCCGATGGCGGCCCACTTGGCTGCATCGACAGAACGAGTAAGTGTGAGTGGTATGCGCAGACCGGAGCTTTGCATGTCATCGTCGCGAAGGAAAATAAAAACATAGCGGTGCGTATGGCTTCGTAGTCGGGGAGAGATGATTGGCTGCTGATTTCATCATGATCATCATCACGTCCATTGCCACCATGATCATGGCCACATCAGTTTCCCATCATGATAGCGTCAGTTTCCATCATGATCATGATCATGATGACACCATGATGAGGTCAGTCATTCACCTTGCCGATGTCTCGCTCTCGATCGTACCCCATCCTCTTCACGTACTCGTCCACGTCGAAGTCCTGCTCGAAATCAACAACACGAAAAAGCGGGTTTGTCTATTTTAAAGAAGAAAAAGAAGCATAAGCAACGTTTCCATATCAAACCGGAAAAAGACAAAGGGAGCGATTACTCGATTTCAAGGAACTCCAAACTACATATAGAATTAAACTATTGATAAGTTAGGAACAATCGTCTCGACATTCAGCTACGAATTACTATCAAGTAGAAAACAACGAGGTAAGGGATCGTTTTTCTCGCCAAGTACCACTGCATAAGATTGGTGCGACAGGACCACAGAACTCGGATAAAAACAGTGTTCACGGACGCAAGAAATGCAACTTCGGGCATGTGGTCCAGGGTAAACATGGAGGTTACAAAAAGTACACAATAGTCATTCCTGCCCGCACACCTCGTTCAGAAAACCCGACGAAAATTCCGAGCATTTTCAGCCAATTAGTAGGGTTGGGGACTGGCGCGCAGCGCCAGTCTCAGGCACGTAGCCACGTTACTGGACAATATCAGAACACTGGCCACGCAGCCGCGACCACCGCCCCCCCCCCGGCTGGTGAGGGGGTCCCGCCGGAGTTGCGTTTTTACGCGATTTGGCTTCACTAGAACAAATTTGTTGGGTGGTTTTGGGTCACTTTGACCATGCCAGAGTCAGGGAATAAACCCTTGAAATCCTTGAAAAATGATCAATGTGTTGGCAATTTTCTTGAAGCTTTGGTTGGGCACACGCACCGAATTCAACATGTTCACCATGAAGCTGCTTCCAAACCATCTTCAACTTGAAAGCCTCGTCACAAGATGGCTCTCATTTTTCATCATGATAATGCTCACTTTTCTTCAACAAATTTGTGAGCTTCGTTGTTTTCAGCAGCATAGACAGCAAAACTGGAAGGCATTCATTAAGGTCACGCTGCTCGTGGCCACCCTGCATCTTTTGCAGGAGAGAAACAAACAGGTTTGACTCTTGCTTACATACGGAGTGTGCCTACTAAAGTATAGCCGTTTTTAAATGATGGTTCAAAAAAGGTCCGGCTGTCTTTTTTTCGAGGCCGCGGCGGGTTCTGGACTCTGAGGCCCTCCGTCCGGGTTTGCGGTGGGCACATCGCTGCTAGTGACAAATCCGTCCATCAATCGCGCGGTTGCACCTTCCCTCGAGTGCGGGCGTGTGTGCTTCGTGCTTGCGCTCCTCTCTCACCCTCTCATGCGGCGCATTTTGGTGGGCTTCCGTGTGGTTTAGGAGGCATAATGTCGGACGTACGTAACATGTGGAAGTACTGGCTTTACTGGCACCCCTCTGTGCAAGTCCTAGAAAACTGTCCAGGAATATTGTCAGTACCTACTGGTCCAGTCCCAAACCCTACCAAATAGTTGATCCCGAGCCACAACTTATTACCCAACACCTGTACATGTGCATACGCTCATCAACAAAATGATGACGCCGCGCCCTTTTATAGCCCAGTGACCTACCTACACCATATACGCCCAATCAATATGACACCGAGCCCAACGGCCATCGACCTACACCTACACGCCCATCAACATAAAATTGTCTGTGAGATAATGGATAATTCTTTGTATCAATGTGGCGCTATAATAAACGGTTACATGACTCCACGCTCAACGGGACACACCAAGTAACACCACACCGGTCACGAGGGCTTGAGCTAGACCACACACACCTTATCCTTGTCTGGGTAGTAGACGTTGAGGGGCTCTTCCCCCTCGAGCACCCCCACCCAGTCTTGCGGCATGCTGTTCGCCGCAAGGGCTTCCATGTCCGCCACCTTCTCGAGGCACAGGTACAGCACCTTCTCCCCGGTGTCCTCCATCTCCTCTACGGTCACACCAGCAAACAAAAGGCATCGAAGACAATACGGTGGCCGCAGCAAACGGTGACATAGGGGGCAAACAAAGACACCCATGAAAAGAATCATTGGGAAGCAACACCTTCAGCGACATCATCAGCAACTAACGATGGCGACAGCGGCGACAAAAGATAGTGGATGAGGAGGAAAAAAAAAGACCCCCATGAAAAAAAAGCAAACGTCAGCACCAAGTTACCATGTACAGGCGACCAGAAACAAGGGTGTCTCGTCTCCCCAAGATTTATCGAGGATATTTCCCCCTCTTTTCCACGCTACAGTACGGCATGATTCAAACTGCTATCACAACCAAACGTCGACAGACTCGTCGGCAGTTCGATCCAGAAACGAAACAAACGGAAGGAGGGCACAGAAGGAAGGAAGGAACCAACGGAGAAAAAACAGGGCAATTCCCGCTGTGATAAAAACAGACAATAATCGCCGAAGAGAAACAGATGCATGTTTCTCGATTCTCGACTTCAGCCCCGAAAGCCATTCAAAAGTGGAGCGTTTCATGCGGCGACATAGGTGGGGGAGGGGGTAACCCAGTGGCGGGGCCTCCACGTAGGGCTGTGTGCTCTGCTGTGCTAGACGGTCAAGTAACGTACCCATATCTAAAGAGAGGAAAAGAATACAACAACACGGGGTCATGATAGGCAACAGAAGACACCGGACAAGCGCTCGCGAGTACTCTCGCGCAAAAACATCTGGGGGTTCGGTTATACTGTAACGCCACGGGTGGGAGGAGGGGAGTGCTAAATGCGTACCCATGGTCCAGTGGCTCTCGTCTGCGTGGACTTGTCCTTTCAGGCTACCCTGGTCGTGGCGATGGTGTCAATGGTCATCGTAGCATAGCAGTGTAAGCAGGAGCAGCAGCAGTCAAGATATGGAGCGTGGGCGGCAGAAGCAGCAGCGTGCATGCGGGGGGTATGAGGAGTGCGAGGTAAAACAGCAAATGAGGACGCGGTCCAAGTTACAGCATGCCCAGGCGGAGCTTTGTCAACGAACTGTCCAAGTACCGTAGGAAGAGCAGTTTCACACCATACAGCAATCACATCACCTCAGGAACCAAGAAAAAAATTGAGCGGAAAAAACATTACACAACGGTAACATCGACAGCACTAACAGCAGCAGCAGCAACAACAAACTGCAACAGCAACAACAACAGTTATGACAACGGCATCAACGATGAAGACTTCGACCACAACGGAGCAACCTCCGTCGTCGTCACCTTTAAAACCGGCCCTTCCCGCCCCTTGAGGCCGAGCGTGAGTGAAGTTTTGGTGACGCTGAGCTGCACGCTCTTCGCCGCCGTTCCAGGTGGAAGGGGCACGCGGACCTCCATGTCGCTGTCCGTCTCCGTCCTGTTTTCGTTCGTTGTTGTTGATGTAGTTGATGTTACTGTGGTGGTGGTTGGTGTGATGTGGATGTTGTTGTTGTTGTTGTCGTTGTTGTGTTGGTTGTAAAGTGGTGGTGTGTGTGTTTGTGGCGGTTATGGTCATGACGATGATGTTATTATAGCTGTTGATTCTGTTGTTGACTTGTGGTTGTTGTCGACCGCGGGTTGAGCGATGGCTCTTCACCCACGACAACCAACAGCAGCGGGTTGCTGCTGACAACCATCGATCCTTTCAGCAACTCGAAAATTTACATACTGCTCAACATTAGAGAGAGTAAAATGCGACCCACACATCCTCCCATCTACGCCGCAATTTTCCTGTGTCCCGGGGGGGCCACACTCTGTGCTGTGTGTGCACCGTGTACCCGGGGCATAAACCAAACCAATGACATTAGAAGCCAACCCAGCTCCACTACGCTGTTAACAACAACAAATCCAGGCGCGGAGTTCCAACATATTTCTGCGATACCGGTGTCACGAATCAGACGGCTGTATTAAACACCTGCAGATGGTCGTGGGTAACAGCAGCGGTTTCCTTTCCCGTGACACATCCAAGAATACGTGATAATGCAAAAGATTCAAAAAAAGAACGTTCGGGCGGAAACAATGACCAAAAACGATGCCTCACCAGGAGTAGTACTCCGTGTCCCCCGTACCGCCACCAAGAATCACCACATCAGACGACGGCCTCCCGCCCCCGCCCCCGCCCCCTCCCCCCCACGGTACAGGCTGAAGCTGCTGCCGCCCCAGTCGTTTCGCCCTGACCCACCCGTCCCGCAATAACCCCGCCTCCGTGCCTCCCCCAAAACTTCTCAATGGAGAGTGACCGCCGCTGCTGCTGCCACAAGTACGCGCCCCTCGTCTCTGATGTCCGAGCGCAGCCGTCGGGCTCGCGATGAACCCGGCCGGTGAATTTCCAGAAAGGCGGGGTTTTCTCGCGTGCTGTCTCGCCTCGGGTGCCCAACCCAACCAGCCGCTGGATCTTCCCTGCTGGCCGTTGGATCTTCGCCGGATGGATACCTCATCCTTGTTGTGCGAAGATGCTATGCCATTGCCACTTCCGCCGCCATTGGTCGGAGATAAAGTTCGGCCGCCCCCGCGTGGCGACGTCAGTGATGGTCTCTGTCGTCGGTGATGGCGGTGGTTGTTTTCCACTTCGAACAGGCGGGGGGTCTTAGCGGAAGGCCCGGTGGGAGCCGGTGCTGCCGCCGCCGCTACGTCTGCTAGCACCAGAGGGAGCACCCATGTTGCTGCTCGAAATAACGCTGAGAGGAAGACGAAACACCGGGGTGGTGATATGGGGGTGGGTGTAAGGGTGACTGCTGCCCGAATCCCACCGCTCCTCGGGGAACAGTCATTATCTCATGGTTTAGTCGTTCCCTGTTTCCGGGGCATGTGTGTTGAGCCGCTGCTACATACTATTGTTGTTGAAGAAGAGGCTTGCTACAGGCGCGAAGGTCCAATCAGCACACCGACAGCTTCTCTCCCACGCACTGAAGCGCATTCGCATAGACCAGAGGCGAACGCCAATGCTCTCAACTGCTGACGACCGGACTGAAAACTGCCGCCCCGCGGACAGGGAAAATCACGAGCACATTCTTGTGATCGACATGGATGTAAGTTATGCAGATACCGCCTTCTCGAACGGGAGTTTCAGTGATTGATTGTATATTCTCATGCTTTCTAGGAGCCTCTGATGCAAAACGAACAAGAAGGTCATGTCCGGTCAATAAACCCTCTACGATATTCTACACGTGGCATTAAGTTCGTTCTGTTTCGTTGAGAGTTGAGAGATGCCGTCTCCTGTCTCGAGGGAGTCGTGAGTCTAGAGACAGCTTTGGGTCAACAGCAACAACAACAATGGCAGCGCGAGCTGGCGGCACGGTGGCAAAAGCAATGCCTGCGTACACATGAGAGCGATACAGCAGTGCCATATAAAGCACAGTAGTAGGATAGCTGGGACAGTTGCTCCTCGGAAGGCATCGGGTCTTGTCTCTCTGAAGGCCGGCGTGTGGCGAACGGCGAACGTCAACCGCATATGCTACGTGTCGGCTCACGGGACTGTCAGGTTTTAGCAATTGTCCCACGAGGTGACAAGCAGACAATGCCATGTGGGCGTCACGCACGATCGCATACACTCACCAGCCATAGCCTTCGTTCAGGAATAAAGTTCTTCCCTTAAACCAAGCTCTCTCTCTCTCTCCGTCTCTCTCTACTCCTGTACGTGTGAGTAGACAGCTAGACAGCAGAGACAGAGAGGAGGCGAGAGGTTGTGGAGCGGGGCGATTAGATGTGCACCGCCTCGTGAACCATTTATTGAAACCTTCACACAGCGCAGCATTGCCAGTGCCCACCGCCCATCATTTTGGCGTCCTCTGCCCCGTCCCTCTCCCCCGACAAGCAACATGGACAACAGGGCAGACTTCATCAGCCTAGCAGGACTTAGACCTGACGGGCGTAGAGGCCGCGAAATTCGCCGCGTACGATCTCGCTTCGGCGTTTTCAAGGTGTGGCATTTGCGGTGCAGTTTGTCTCGTGGGCCGGACGCCAGGGGGCCTTGCCTACCTCCCCCGCAGACTAGCCGCGCGCTTGTACAGCAGCAGCTGCATCATCCCGTCCTCAGCACCGTTTTGCTGTTTGCCGTGGGTTCCAGCTGGTTGCTGCCCTTTTCTTGTTGCTCGGAGCCACAACAAGGTGCTGGTCTCCCAAGAGTTCTGCAGCGGAGGTTGCACAAGGCGCCGGTTCACCCTTGATACTGCAATCTTTGGGAGAGGCCGCACTTTGACCTTGTCGTGGCCCTTCGCTGACCTATCCGACTGCAACGCGTGCGCGCGATGAACCCGGCTTCTTCGGTTTGACTGACCGAACGATGGCTCGTTGCACGCCTGTTTTCAAACCTAATGCATGTCATACATCAGGGTGCCGATGGGTCGGCGTATCTGGAGATGGGCCAAACGAAGATCATCGCTATCGTCAAGGGGCCGCGAGAAGTGACCCGAAGGTGGGAAGAGTGACGGGGAAGACCACATCATATGGCTATGTATGTAGTTGGAAACGCAAGGCGTGGACTGGAAGAGGTGCCAACACCGTCCTGCTTTTGCACGAAGCCGCACTTCCTCTCTCTCTCCCTTTTGGCGTATTGCTGTTGTGTGCTGTCGATTTGGTCGAGTGCTGTGCCACATATTTGGTCATTTGCTGCACTGCCGCGTCCGTCGTCGTACCACAAGGCTGTAATGTGCTATGAACTGCCGTACATACATTGGGGTTTGCGGGTACCCGCACCCCTCCCCCCCCGCGGTGTGCTTGCGGCCATACCCCCCTCCTCCACCCCCTCCCTTAATTTTGAACGGAAGAAATGCGGTGCCCCCCAATACCGAAGTTCCGCGGCCTTGCTCGCTCGCGTGGTTCGTAAACAGAACCCTGTCTC